TGGCCTTTGGAAAATAGTGTCTCAACCAGTCACCTAGATTTCCACACCCTTTCTGGGAAGGAGATAGGATACCATCACCACAAGGAAAAGCCATCACTTTCACTGTAGCTTTCTCTGCATGCCCTGAACTGACCCGGTTTAGTGGCTGTGGATTCTGCTTTGAAAAGTTCACTCAATTTATAGACTCCTCATGGCCCCACCCTGATTTCACTCATTTCTTTGTTCAGTACACTGGGCATGAAGGCAGTAGAGGAATAGGAGTTAAAACATTGTAACCGATCAAGATACTGAAACATGTAAATAGTTTTAACTTTCCTAGTATACTTATTCCTATAGTATCATAAATATGAACAATATATTTTTTTGTTTTTTATCAGTTGTTTTGATATCATGTAGTGGGGAACAAGAGAATCAAAGTGGGAGGAGCAGAACCAAAATAATTCATTTTTATCTCAATGAGATTCAATTTCCTTATTTATAGACGTATCTCAGATTGTACTTTGAGGATCATATGTTTGAAAGTGATTTCTCTGGGAAAATTACTTAATTTATAAGTTGAGGGTAATACTAGCCCTATTTCAGAGACCTGTTATAAGGATTAAATTTATAAATTTATGCAAAGTGCTTAGAATGGAGTCTAGCTCACAGAAAGCACTAAAATTAATTTTAATATATTTAATATTATTACTCTTTTTTGTAAATAAGCTATAAATATGGAAGTTACTTATTTAAGCACTAGCAAGACTAAATAAGGAAGAAGGGAAATAATGAGAAAATTGATAATCAGAAGACTGGTTCATTTACTTCTTGAGACAACCAGGAACTGGCTATGAAGTATGCCGATGACCTACAAACCTGGGACTATAGATAAGTGACATTCCAGAACAAAGGAATGATAAATTTTTCTAAATAAACTTGACAATCTTAAAATATTGACAAAAGAGTAGAGCTGTCATAAATGAAGCAGAAAAAAACTGAGACTCGGTGAGTTGCTTGGTGCTATTGAGGGCACTATCTCCATTATCCCTTTGCTCTTTCTACCATTAATTTACTTGAGGATTAACATGTATGAAAATTCCACATTTAGAGCACAATTTTAATTTAATTAAAATTTCCTAGCAGCTCCTAAATATATTGCTGAACAGAAAATACAAGATGGTACAACTGCCATGTCAATTTTGCATGCAAAATGAAAACTAATTTTAGAAAAGCAATGTCTAATTTTTATTATAATTGATACTCTATCATCAGCAACCTATATCATCAGTTAATGTTTTAGCCTAAAATAAAAACAACAAATGGTATACTTCATTTGAAAAAAAGTCAATACTCTGAAAATGTTAAATCTGACAGTAAGTTTTTTAAAAATATATATATATATGAAGTATATATATATCCCACGTTCAAAAGCTGTTAAATCATGTTGTCTACCCATATCTATATATATATATGAAGTATATATATATCCCACGTTCAAAAGCTGTTAAATCATGTTGTCTACCCATATCTATATATATATATGAAGTATATATATATCCCACGTTCAAAAGCCGTTAAATCACGTTGTTTACCCATATCTATATATATATATGAGTCCGAAGGCCGATGCTCTATCCACTGAGCCAAACCGGTTAGGGCAATTAATTCCCTTTTAATGTGCACGAATTTCGTGCACCGGGCTACTAGTCAGATAATAATGAAAAACTGTTTTTAAATGTAGAGTATGTCTCCCTGGGTGCAGGCACTGAGACTTCATTATTTTCTGTGAAATACTTGTGATGTTGCTTATAATAGTTATGTCCCAAGCCATGAAAAGATTTCTATACATACATAAAAGGTGGCAATGACATCTTTCTTGATCCTTCCTGTGCTAACCTGGGACATTTTCCCCCAACCCCATTCGGATTCCATGAAATGTCCAAGAATGTATCCCCACTTAGTAAGTTTATATGAGAATAGGGAGACTGTCTCTTCCACCCAAACATGTGCTGTACAGCACCCCCTTGTACCAGCTTCTCACTTCTCCAGCAGTTTATTCCAATTCCAGCAATTTCATATTTTAGATATACATAAACATTCTTCCAAGCCTTCCAACTATACCCTCCTGATTACCTGGGATGGGTAGGAGAGATCCATTTCAAAATTCTTTATATATACCCCACAATTTTTACACAAACTTCTTCATCTTGTGTCTTATCTTCACCCAGCACCATAAAGAAAAGTGTGTAAATAAATTCCCACCCATACCTCTATAAGTTGTTGAAATAATAAATAAATTCCTATTAAAATGGAATTTGGTTTAAAAACTTGTACTACACAATTACGCCCGGTGACTAGTAACATTTTTATATTTTTGGTAATCTAGAAAAAGTTGAGTTCCCAGTATTTGAGTCTTAGCTTTATCACTTTAGCCTCAAACACTGCAGAACTCACTTAAGATTTCAGAGTCCTGCTTCTCTCATATGCAAAAGACTGTAACATGGAGCTCAACAGAACCAGTTATACCCAGTCATAAGGGTATTTGTAAGTAAAAGATAGCATCTGTACTTTTTATTTCGAAAGTTTATATAAAAATTAGAGGTATATTGGTACACGTGACATAAAAGATAATGAACTGTACAAATATAAAGTACTATTGTTTTGATAGGTTGGATAAAATAGCCTTTTGTGGATTGACTGACCCTTGCTAATTTATTTTTACTCTACCAACAGGGTCATCTTAATACACAACAATTGGTCATGAGACTTAGCTACTTATTACCTACCAATGACTCTTCTTTGTTAACAGAAGTTCATACCCTTGATATCCTGACAATTCCCACTGATCGCTCAGTTAATATACCCTGTGATACATATCCAGCACAAAATACTTGGAGCACCTTACAGTTCTCAACCTGTGGGTCGCGACCATCGGAAAACACATATAGCATATCAGATATTTACATTACGATTCATAACAGTAGCAAAATTACAGTTATGAAGTAGCAACAAAAATAATTTTATGGTTGGGGGTCACCACAACATGAGGAACTGTATGTATTAAAGGGTCGTGGCATTAGGAAGGTTGAGAGCCACTGTCAGACATCTTCTGAAACAAAACTCCTGTTCTGTGATTTCTTATTTACCTAATACCAATCTTAAAGAAAGACAGGAAACATAGGAAATTTCTCTAGAGATGAAAGAAGCCAAAAATAGTTGATAATATTTTCAGTTTAATTAAATTCTAAAAAGCACATTAAATATACTTACTAAAAATAAAAAAAATCTGACAGTGAATTAATAAAAAGTGAAAAAGATAAAAAAATGTTTGAATAGTTTTAAGAGGATGTCATAAACCTCAGCTAGTAATATTAAAACAAGTGAATATATAACTTTCTTTAAATATAGTGCCAAACCGAATACTTATAGTGCCAAATGGAATTCTTATCCCACAAATAAGAATGGGATTTAAGCTAAAAAAAGAGAATTTAAGTTTAAACAAAGGTGGGTGATTTAAGTTAAAAAGAACTTGAAAAGAAAAACTATTCCTATTATGAATTGTGTTTTTTGCAAGAAGAAATTGCAGGCTAAGGTCTTGAAGTATTTTTTTCCAGTGGCAAATATTTTCTGCCCATCAGCTGGCTATTAACTTAGGCAGCAAGGAAAAGATGTTTTTATAGAAATCATTAAATACATAACAGCTGGTTGACTGCTGATGCTTCAAATTGTGAAAAATTATTGATGTTAATGATAGTAATCACAATAGTTGAAAAATATCTAATTAACAAAAAGACAACACTACTTATGAAGTGCCTTGGTTCAACTTGTAATGATTAGCAGAAAAGCACACTAATATGTTTGATGCAGTATTTTGAAGATCACTCAACTATCAACTTTCCATAATGCCATTCAATTAAATATACAATAAAAATGCAAGATTGTTTATGGAAAGAATTTTGTGATGCTTGTAGATGAGTATATTACAAGGAGAAAGGCCTGATCTAATGCAACATTAAGCTACTGTAGCTTTGTTCTACATTTGTTAAACTTTACACTAATTATAATAATGAGGTTTGGTCTTACAATATACTGCATATTTAATCTTTTTAAGGAGCTTATCAAATTGATTTACAAGATAAAACTTGTTTATGCTATAAGCAAACACATGCATGTTAACAGTGTGCAATATCCTGGCTTAATTAGAAAAAGTCCATATTATCTTAAATATAAATAGTATAAAACCACATGGTTCTAATTTGAACTTGACATTTATATTTTAAAACTTATTTATATGGTTTGAAACTTTTTTCTCTTTCTCTCTTCTACATAGAATGTCGTTCTATTGACTCAGTCAAAACTAGATTATACTAAAAATGAATAAAGTGAATTAAGAAAGATTAAGTGACTCTTGAAGAAAGAGGAGGGATGGTGGTGGTGGTGGTGAAGATCACAGACAAGAAATCACTTAAATTTGATTATCAGCTGGTATTATGCTTATCAAGTCAATGGCTAAATTGCATTCTAGAAGGACCCTTCCTAGTATTCTTGCTCTGGGCTCTAGTCTAAAATTTTTAAAATGAGGTCTACTTTTCCACAATGAATGCATTTTCAAAATTCTTCTCCCTTCCTCACTTCCTCTTTTTCTCTCTCCATCACCCAGGGTAGCTGTGGAAAACCTGAACTCTCTTAATATTATCCTCAAATTTAGATAATCGAGAACTAAATGGAGTATCTGAGCACCACATTTAGCAATAGAGCCTGGAAGTCATGAACTCTGTTCTTTGTGACTCTGCTCTTTGCAACTTAGTTTTCCAGCTTAAGTTCAAGGGGAGTCTTTAATATTCATTTTAAAAAGACATAATGGAATTATCAAAAATATATAATCAAGTATAAATTTTGACATGGGAAATTCAAACTTATGGTTTAGTTAATTAAGCTTTAATTTCTGGACAGGGGAAAAGCAGTCACATCAAAATTTAACCTTACAATAAAATCCAAAAGAGTTAATAATGATTGTTTACCTTCACAAATTGTGACGCCATTTCCTGAAAATCCGATGTTGCAATAACAGGCTTCAACTCCATTCCGTATTTCACATTTTGCATTTGGAAGACAAGTCCTGGTGCAATTTTGAGTATAAGAACAATTCAACACAGTGGAAAAACCCACTAAAGAAAACAGAAAAATGAAAACCTTTTCAGAAAGAAAAAGAAAAGTTTCCTCCCATTGTTGAGTTAGAATAAAAATAATACAAATAAGTCTTCTTTCTCTCTCTTTAGATGATAAGGATTTCCCAAGGGAACATTTAGCTAAAAACAGCAGAAGAGCAAGTAAGTAAAAAAGATGAAGGCATTTTTTCCTATCTCAGTGTTTACCGGGGAAATTTCAACAAAGCTAAAATTCAACAACCAGCTTTATAAAGAATACAGTGTTCCTAGGTCATTGGGATATAGGATCACCTTCACCCAGGTGAGATCCTTTTAAAGGCAACTGCAGATTGCAAAGCATTCCCCTCCCCCCTCTGGCAATGATTCTGTGCTGAAATCACAGTAAATTGAGTCTTTTTAAATTCAAATTTGTGTTCTTTTAAGATGAAGAGCAACACATAACATCCAGAAGGACAAATGCAATTGCTATTTTTCTATGTTCTAATGATCTTTTTAAATCTTTTCAAATTTAAATTTTCTATGTTCTAATGATCTACCTTTCTATTAAAAACATTCTTTTACATTTTTTTTTCCCAGTAGAGAAAATTAAAATAAAACAACATACTGGTTAAAGATTGGTTTTCCGGAAAAGCAACCCCACACACACCTGATCAAGAAAATTCAGCAACAAGACTTATTTCAGATTGATTGAAAACGAAGTTGGAAATGGTGGGTTTTTAGGGGGAAATACGGAAGACCATAGGACCTTCCTTTTTTATTATTGTCTACGGTCTTCTCAAGACAAGCCTGCTTGAGAAGGGACAGTTACGAATCATTCACATTTTCTGAATATTTTCAGTCACCTCAGATAAACTATCCTGACTAGTAACAAGAGATACTTACACACTTGCTTCTAAAATTCTAAACCCCAGTCTCCTATAGGGCTGTATATACTGTCTAAACCACAATTAATTCGCCTTCAAGGATGTGATCGATTTTCTTTCTGCACAGCATCATCAAAATGGTATTTTAAATGAACCCTGAAGTCTGGGCTCAAAGTCCCCTTGGAACGCCAGGAAACTCCCTCAAGTGTTAATAGTTTGGATTTCCCCAAATTTCTGGGCGGGGGAAGGCTCAGAAGAAAGGTCAAAGTCTAAGACTTTGAAGATTTGGGGGATTTTGTCAGCAGGGAAAACAAAACAAAACAAAACAATGACAGTCCCTGGGCCCCTAATATCGCACTCCAGAGTTGAAAGGCCAAAGAGAAAAACATCCTGAGAAGTTGCGCCCCTGCTCCTTGGAGACCTGGCCCATGCACTAGGCAAGTGCGCTCCACCTTGGAAAACTCCGGTTACCTACAAGCCACGGGCCCCCCAGCAGCTCAGGGACGGGGTGCTGGGCACTCACCTAGGAGCGGGAGGAGTTTCATTGGCGGCGGCCGTGGTGGTGGCGGCGGCAGCGCGACTGGGTGTTG